CTTTGGGTAGACAATGGTAAACATGGGCTGGCTGCAACGGTGGCAGTGTCCCAAGGGACAGTGCAGCAATTCCAAGAGGCTTTTGGGTAATGAGATTGGAGTCAGAAAGTTCAAATCTAGGGAAGAGAAGAAACAAGAAACTTGTAACAAAACAATTGCATGATAAAGTCAAACACAGTAAGTTTGATCCGTGAACAATTCAGAAAAATCAGCTTTAACTTTCTCAAGACTTTGTCAAAGAATAGCAAGCTAAAGCACATTATCCACAATTAAGTTGAAGCCCATGATCCTTTCACTGTATAAATTCAAAAATTTAAAGGTTAAAAAAACCTCGCAGGCATAAGATTAAGCAGGCCCAAATATCCAGCTGAAGATACCACTGATCAAGCAAAAAAAAAGGGGGGGGGGGGAAGAAAACAGTAGCATGTCATATAGCATTCTTAAACATAAAGATACTGGACTTGAGCTGGAGAGTTGTTAATATCAGATATGGATAATCTAGACAAGTATTTAATAATTAATAACAATGCAAAATTCTAGAAAGGACATCAGTATTATTTTAGCAAAATATTTCAGCAATCAATCCAGCAGGAGAGCTAAGCTCACTAAAAAGCCCAAACTCCACCATCAGCAAAAAGGGATCTCTAATATTTAGAATTACTTGAAATACAATCCAGCCCAGCATAATCCTCATACGTCCAACCAAACAGCCCACTCAAAAAAAGAAAAAAAAAAAACATTCAAAGTCTCTTAAGCATGCCCCCATAGTTCAACAGATGCCATCATTTTTTACCAAAAGGGGCGCCGGGGTCATTTCATGGGAAGAAGCAATCATTTTTTCAGGCTTGACCCAAGTCACTTAGTATTTCATAAATTAAAATCAACATGCTAATCTCCATCTAAAAACAGAGACAGCCAAGACAGATGAATGAGTTCAGGTGCTGAGTAATCAAGATAAGATGCAGTACCTGATAAATCAGTTTTAAGATTTCACACTAGTTTCAACTTCCAAACACTATAAGGCTTAACCCCATGCGCAACGTCCCACAACCACCTCACTTTGAGATGACAGGTATGACGAACAGTACCGTTTGTGTTCAAAAGAAAAGGTCATATTCCCCGGCCAGGCAAAGACTGAGGAAAAGTAGGCTGGCCACTTCTTTCTTACTTATCAACAAAGACTAGACTTCTGCAAATCAGAATGAAACAGCATCCTTCACTGTATAATTTTGGTGCAGCTGATATCCTGATAATGAACAATTAAACTTCTCCCATCTACCCTCTGTAAGCAGAAATATCAGAAATACACAGCCCCTTAAACCAGTCAATTAATTCATTCTCTATATGAATTTATATAATCTCCAGAAAACAGTGTTGCTTTCTATGCACACAGGCTTGTATGCTTATCCCGCCCTTTAACATGAAGCTTCTTCCCTTCAGTATATTTGCTGCCAGGTGGTCACTGAGATTGTTAGCTCCTCCTTGTACACTTTTCCTGGCATGGCAATAGTTCAGCACTTAGGGTTTCCTAAGAGACCCCTTACTGTAACCCTCTGACCTTTTTACTGTAACTGTCCCCCCTTCTACCTTCTACTTTCACCTCTGAAACTGATAAAATTCCAAGATGCTGTGAATAGGAGAGAGTCACAATACACCAAAAGCTGACAGAATCTGAATCCGCAGTTTATTCTCAGATATCACTAACTCATGGGATAGCATGATGTATAACCAGATGAGCCAAGGGCCAGTTTACAACAAAGAATCTGAACTGGGGCAGAACTAAAACAGCTCAGCTGTCACACTGTACTGAAATGGCCAACGGCTGCTAACATTTCTTTTGCCTTATGTATAACAAGTCTGCCAGTTTAGGAGTGTGCTGCCTGGCAAGAAGCTGCATTGTTGGCTGATGCATCTAATCTTGCCTCAGGAACGGTATTTTTCATCTCCTATTTCCATTAAAGAGTTTTCTCCTGCAAAAAGCATCCTCCTTTATACAATCCTCAAGAAACCATTTGTAAGCACCACTCTAACTCAGAAATAGTCTTTGGATCTCTGTTTTTCATACTGGATATTTTTGTTTTAATACAGCATTTCAAACATAATTAAGTAAAACTTCTAAAACATTAATCTTCGCCCAGCTCTTTGAAGAGCTATTTGAAATGTTCCTATCATTTCAAAACGAGAAGTGGTTTTCTGGCAATTTAAAGAACTCAATAATTTCATACCTTTTAGAAGCCTGTAGTAGGTGGTATAGAGTGTCCTCATGGCCAGTTCTTGCAAAGGCAGCACATGATCTGTTTCTGTCCCTATTGATTTCACCTCTGCTGGCAGGAACACAGTTAACTGTCCCGATGAAAAAGAGAGCAGTTTCACCTCTGAAACCTGAATTGGAGAACCACAACTGGAAGGACACAAAACATTTAGAAAGCTGTTAGAAAATAATAAAAGTAACTTCATGGGAAAACCCAGATGACCAGCCCAAAGCACGCTTGATACTGTTCTTCAGTGCAGCACCTTCCAAGGACTCATGAAGAGTGTGATACATACTGACATGCATTCCCTATAGATCCCCAACCTCTGTGACATGCTAGTCATGGGTCACCTGGGTCTTTACTGACCAAGTAACATGCACAAGCTAGAGAAATAAGAACACAATCCCAAGGAGATCAATCAGGTCCTACTGAAAGCTGTCCTATGTCCCTTATTTTGCCTAAAAGCTGATCTCCTTTAGCCTCTGAATGCCACTATTACTAAGCATTTTACACAGGGGAGCAGTTTCATACCTAACAATTGGTTTCCTGTGTCTTCGATCAACTAGCTGAGAAGGATCATGGATTTGTCTACTACAACACCCCGGAAACTACAGCCACAAAAAATTAGCATTTAAATACCACTGGGTGAGTCTGTACTGTAACTTGCCCCATCCACAGAGTTCTCTTGGGTGGGGGGGGGGAACCAAAACAACAACAACAAACAGCCTAAGCTGTAATAAGAAGATAATCCGGTAAGTCTACTAGCATTGTCCTTCCCAAATCATAATGAGAAAAAGGAAGGTTATTTGGATCCAAGGAGAGAAACTTAGCCTGTAGTAAAAATAATAATTCTTTACGTGATCCCTGTTGCAATCTATCATACCAAAGAGACACGCAAAGGAAAATTCTACTAAGAAGTCAGGGAAGTCAACGGGGAATAGGAATTGTTTATGACAACTTAAATTTGAAGCCAAGAGCAACTTGTTAGGGCCAGTCCTAATAAATGAAACAGAAACACAAATTACTCAGCCTTCCCAGATATTGGACCTAAAACTGAGGTAACTATTAGATCGTATCGGATGTGAAAGAAATCTCATTGTATTTCTCTGATAACAAAGAATCTCATCTCTGATTAAAGAAAAAGCACCCCAGAGAAACAAGCAACAAAGAACAGCACCAAACAGCAAGTCAATAAGCCTCCTGTCAAATATTTAATACTTTCCCATAAACCACTAATGGGATTTAAAAAAAAAAAAAATCAGGATTTCAGAGATCTAATATTCCAACAACTCATTCTCCAGCAATCCTTTCCCAATGAATTAGCTATCAAATATTTTCAAGCTGATCAACCCCTCCCCTACCTAAACAGAAGGTTCTACAGTTGAAAGCTGGGCCATTTTGTGTGCCTGAAGAGTGAGGCTATTAATGTCCAATGGTCCTTCCCACAACACTGAACAACAAAGGAAGCAATCAAGATATCAAGAGAACAACCTAAAAGAGACAGATCCTTAAGTCAGGATATATATATATATATGTGTATATATATTTGTATGTGTGTGTATATGTGTGTGTGTGTGTGTGTGTATATATACACACACACACACACACATATATCAGAGAAAGAATCTTGTCCTTTGAGTAGCGCTGGGTAAAAGAACAAAGACTTTACAAAAACAAATTTCATGGAGGTTAAAAACAAAAAAGGCAGGGCAAGGGAAGAGGGGAAGGATGATCTATCAAGCAGGAAAAATGGAGCTGCAGAAAACCCCTGGCAAATAAACCACAGGGGAGAGAGCTATGACCACCAATTGGCTCCCTTCAACAAGGCTGACAGATACCTAGCTGGAGACCATGAAATCCAATCTGCAAAAAGTACGATTCTGAGTGCTGATATCATCACCTCTTATGTAAAAGACTGTTTTTCAGTCAGTCTGACTGCAGGATTCCTAGACAGATATTCATTACTTACACAATGCCATTTATATTCTATTTTCAGAAATCTAGATTTGTTTGTAACAGCAACGTGTCAGAGTTTATTATCGAGTGGATGACCAGGAAGAGTACTAAACCCTGGATCTTCTGCCCTTTTGCTTGACCCATAACAGCCGTACACTGGCTACTAATGCTTACTTGGAAAGAACACAGAAATGCTTCAGATTACCAGTACTGTATGATTTTAACAATGTCACCCAGCACATCATCAAATTTTAGTTTCTTAATAAAATATATAGGAATATTTTTCCCATGTCAAAGATTTTCCTTAAAAATAGTCTAAGATATTTAAAGAGCGTTTCACAACATGAAGAGGAGTATCCATTTGGTACACAAATGCAAATACTACTTTGTTTACAAAAAAGTAAAATTATTGCATTTTTCAATTCCTTGTAATTATAAAAGTAATTTTTTTTTTTTTAATATTACAGAAGGCTTTTCCAGAATTAATGTCATTGTAACACTTGGAACATTTTTGGTCTCTTCTATACTAGACTCATAGTATTCTCCATACAAGATACCACCAAGCAGTGTAAACGTAATCAGAGCGAAAAGAACTGGTAATGTTTTTATCATCCTCCATCCCTCCTTTTTAAGGCATTTTGTGAAATTCACTAATGGTTATAAAATCTATAATTAAAAACTAATCAAAGATTGAAGAAACTGAAATTTTACCAGACAATTAAGAAAAATTCAAATTGAAATAGAACTTAATGTGGAGAGGAGAAGAGTCTCATAACAAGTGATGCCACTTAAAATATCAGTGGAAAGATAAAAAGATTTTGGCTGAGAGTAAAACAAGGACTTCAAATATTATAAAAATTAAACAAGTGGTTATTTAAATTCACCTGAAATAAACAGGATTGTTGGACCAAACTTGTTGGAGCACTTCCTGTATTGCCACTATTTTTTTCAGTCAAATCAATACAGTTCTATTACCCTTAGGGTCAATTATCTATTATCATTAATGTCTTTCTTACAAGGGTACTCTCAGTTCTGGGGGAAAAAAAAAAAAACACCTAAAAATTATTTTACTGAAAATCAAATCTGTAAAAGTTTGAGGCTGCACACATATCAGCAGAATTATAATACAACTGCAAGTATTAAATATCACACAACCAGCTATGTGACACAGGAATATTAAAAAAAACCCTTAAAATGTCAAGATTCAGTATCTCACACATTGCTGTAGAGCACAGGCTGTAAAGATGGAATTTATATTTAATGTAAGATCTGCTGAGAGCAAGCATAGCAGAAATTTATAATTAGATGGTAACGGGGACAATTCTCCTCTGATCAGTTTTACACCAGCAAGACTCCATTCATTTCAGCAGTGCTGATCCTAATTTATGCAAATGTCAGTGCAAAAAGAATTAAGCTAGTGTCCTAGACAGACCACTTTTTCCTCACATCCTAACCACAAACATGAGACAGCCTAGGATATTTTTAAAATACACACTTAAAAATATACCTGTCAATCCATAATTCCTAAAAAAGTTACTTATTTTAGTGGGTGCCAAGCCCTATAAAACGCTGATGCTGGGATGCAAAGTGAATGAAGGAGCTGCATGTGACATTCCAAGAAACGGCCCATAACTTACAGAAATGTTAGAACTTACAAACTAGTTAGATGCTGCCACACATAAAAGAGTTTTTGCAATCTTTAGTGCTGAACAACCTATGAAGCCTACATTTTTGGCCACATTTAAAGGCAGCTAGGCTTCAGCTTCAGGCCTTACATTACCATTTAGAATTCCTTTCTAATAACTGCACTGACTTATGGCTTAATACTAAAATATTGTAAGTCAGCAAATTAACATACAAGATTTATTACAAAAGTAAAACAGAACTGGCAGCTGCTGTAATCCCCTTAAAGTAATGTTAGTTCTGAATCAATCACAAAAAAAATTCAGTTGTATCATACAGGCACAGATTTATGAGAAATTTTAAAAGGAAAAAATATGCAAAACATTTGAATTAACTCATACCTACCCACTGCAACCAATGACTTTATTATACAGATAAGATGGAAGCCCTTTCAGATGAATGTTGTTATCCACATAAACATATTGCAGCTCCCGAGAACGACCTAAATCTGGGTTTAGAAAACAAGAAAAAAGTAAGGGGGAGAAGGGATGACATAATGACAATTTTAAGCAAAATAATTCTCTTTAATTAAAAAAAACTAATCAGGCTTAGTGTAAGCAAAGCTAAATTAGTACTTCTCAGCTGTAAAATTTGAGCCAATTATTTTATTACGGATAAATTGAAAAACTGCTTAGAAAATAGCATTTATATATATTAAAAAAAAACCTTTTCAATAGTTCTGAAAATCTCATTATGAATTTTCACATTGACAAACTCTAAAGTCAGTTTGGAGAAGCAAAATGACAATTCGTTTCATAGCTACTGTGCATACTTTAAGAACAAAAGGCCAAATCTGCTTTCAGTAACTGGCCTAGCGTCACTGTAATCATAGCTTCACTATCTGTAAAGTAGGAAAGAAATAAACAAGGATGCTTGCTTCTTTTTCCCAAAAAGAAAAACTTTTTTGAATACATTAGTCATAACTAAATGCAGCTAGTGCTCATTCAGGAACAAGTCTGTGTGTTGTGTTAAATTACAGAACTCAAGAAAATTTCTGAACATTAAACAACAGAAGTTACGGCTACAAGTAAACAATCAATACATCTGAAGCCCCTCACATATTTCTATTAGATTATTCATAACTGACTGACAAAAGAAGGCAGTACAGCATGTTTAAGCTCTAGCCTCATGGACTAGAAATATATTAACATATCTCCAGATATGAACATATAGTTATGGCGAGATTTTATTTTGTTTAGAAAATTAAGTAGAGAAACAGAGCGAAGTTGAAAGGGAAGATTTAGGTGTCTGCGAAGAATTCTTGGAAGCAAAAGTTTTGCTCGTCAGTAACATCTGCTCACTGGTAAGAGAGTCTTCTATCAAAGGGAGTGAAAGACATGCTAATGTGAGGCATTTAAAGACAGATCAGACAATAAACTAAAAAACCCGGCAGGCCACTGCACCTGTAGCTTCTGGGTCATTCCAGATATTAGAGCAGAGAAAGACATACGCATTAATACAAAGCACAAACCAAGCAACATTGTTTGAAAGCCTCTCCACTTGCGAGGGGATAGCTGCAACCCAGATGAAATGCATGACAAAAAAAACGCCTATATGTCTCGGTCTTAACTTTTTATACTCTTAAGGAGCCTGCTACAGAAACTAAACAAGACAAACAAGAGTTTGGCTGAATGAGGCGCGCTGAAAGCTTAGCATAACATTGACCAGTTCTGACTTCCCGTCTTCACCAACTGTCAGTTACCCTGACTGGCATAAAAACAAAGGTCACCGCAGAGAGATTAACATAGCTTCTGTCCCTTTCGTAACCACAGCTATTATACTAAGAACAGAAAAAAAATTAATTAAAACATTTTCCGTGCTATCTCTCTTTAGATACTCCATTTGGAATGATGAACTGTCTACAATCCCTTGTCATTCCCTACTATGACAATAGGTAATACAATCCTTTCTCTACCATTGAATAGTTCTCCTTGCACACAGAGCTCTGGACGCAATTTAACACGGATGAATCAAACAGCTTTTTAAGTGATCTCTCCAAACATTTGCCCGTCTTACAATATATTGAATGCCTTCAGCTCTCACCCACTTGAACAGCAGCTGCAAGCATCGGAAACCTTGGAAGATCATGCTGAGGAACTTCAAAGGGTGCCACATTATCAAATCTTTTGTATGAAGAACAAGTGATGATACCAACAGAAAACCTAATAGGCTCCTTTTTTGGAGGGAAAATGTTAACATAAAACTTGAGAGTTGTTTTTTCTTTTAATACAGGGCCTTACTCTACAACAATCTATGCAAGTTTTTTCCTAGGCTTCAGGGACAATATCTGGCCTTTATTCAAATTAGAGTCACCAGACATCAGGGGACACCTTCAACCAGCATAGGCTTCTTTGACACTGTCCTAAAGACATTCTAGTTCAAAGCGCTATACGATGCATACATCAACTGTTCTGCCCCAAGATGCGAGTACAAATATCTCCACTGCCTGACCGACACTGCTGTGAGGTGCTACTGTGCGCGGTTAAGAGCTAACACCTCAAAAAAAAAAAAGATTTATTGGCTCAGTATATTGCCTGGCTGAAAACAGATTATTGAAGTTCTGGGATATTTTTAGATGAAACAAAAACATTGTTATCCTACAATGAATAAAAATATGGTAATACTGGGACACTGTAAAATATTGTAATACTGGGACACTAAAATATTGTAACACTGGAAAAGAATCAGCCAATAAAATTTAAAGCACACAGCGGGTGCATGGCACATCTAAAGCTGAAAGAACACTGCCTCATGCTGCAGAAACTAATTATACTAATAAGAGCTGAAAACTACGGGTTGCTGGGTAGCTTGAATGTGCTACTGTTTAACTTATTAATTTAGAGAATGGCAGAAAATTTTTTAAAAGGGCTCATTTGTTCATTTCTACACAGATGTATATAAATGGGCTGGAAATCAAGCAAGTCAAAAAAAAAAAAAAAAGCTGTTCTTTTCCTAGGCATTTTTGTTGGGGGGAGGGGAAGGAGGCCGTCTTTTTTTTTCTTCCCCCTCCCCTTTATGCATCTCATCCCTTTGCTCTGTCTTTATCTTATGCTATGTTTAGATTGTAAGTTCTTAGTTGAAGACTGCATTTCCTAGGTAATTAAAGCAAATTTTTGGATGTTAGACAAAATATCTCAGTAGGAAAAATTCAATTCCCAACGCCAAATAGCCTGTAACTATAAATGTTCCTTTGATACAGTTTCTTTGCATTAAGTAACCAAGCATCTCCCAGGCCCCAAAAGATTTTTTCAAGTTTCAAACACTATTCATAAAGCTTAGTTAAATTTAAATAAATCACCACTTAAAAAGCTCTTTGTATCCCATCTCCATTAATTTTTGTCTTATATCAATCAACAAATATTGTTAAAACTTCTCTAAAAAACACACTTAACAACTTTGTGAAATGAGGACACTGCCCATCTATGAAAAGGCTAAAGCTACAAAGAAGGTTTTCATGTAGCTTTTGCCAGCAGTGTGCTGTGTCTAAAACATTTCCACTTTCTCTCTTCCAGGCTCCCAGATCAAAGACCTTTCTCCTAGAAATGACCATGAGTCCTGAACAAACCCCAATTCTACTTTTTTTTTCTTTCTTTCCCCTTAAAAAAAAACAAAAAACAAAAAACCTCAGGGCCCTGGCATATGCATTCCACATGGCTGAAGATGGAACAAAAGCTCTTGTGTGTCTGCACTGATGCTCTTTTAACCATATTGGGAGGGCAAGGATACAAAAGCAGCATATACTGAGGTAGAATAAGACCTTTGTTTACTGCGCACTGATAATTACTAGACCCATTTTCTAAACAAAAAGTGCATATAAACCCTCAGTAAAGTAATATAGCACTGAATATCTGCTGTCATAACATCCCCTGTACTGCCAGTACACGTCAAAATTTATGGCCTATTTTAATTATATTTGTTCTCTCTCTCTCTTTTTTTCTTTTTTTTTAAAACATAAATCATTTTTATTCTAGCAATGTCAACAGATTCAAATTTCTACTTGCAATGGAATTTTTTGTCAGGCATTGAAGCCTTCGTTAATGGTAAAATTTTAAAGTTAAATTTCTATCAAAGGGTAATTTTTAATATAATATAAATAGGTAGATACAAAATAATCAGTAGTTCCATCTGTCATTCAAGAAGAGAGTTCTCAAGACCACTTATCAGAGCAGCATGAAAGCCACATCCTCCACGCCGACAAGTGAAAAAAAATGCACAGGGTTGGCCAGGATGCCATTTCCAGTTTGAGTCACACATATAGTTTGAGTATTTTTAGAAATTTATTAGGAAGGTCCAAAGACTCAAATCCACGCGCTTCTATTTCTTTGAATATAAACTGGAATATATGACAGCTAAAAAATAATCACTTATGTGAAATACTGCTATATCCAAGAATTAAGTATATACTGCAGAATGAATGACTAATTCATTATCGTTTACCCATCTGCTTGTTTATATGTCAGTTTTGAAAATCAGAGAGTGGTACGAGGTATTTATGTTGTATTTTACAAATATGATTCCTGTTGTTACACTATTTTTCTTAAGATGCACGTGTTCTCAAACTTAAGAAAGGTAAATATTATCATTTAAAATAAAAAACATACAGGATAAAACTACATAGTATATATCCAGCAGCGCAGTGAAAGTGCAGGGCTACTGCTGGAATGTATCTTATACCTATCAATCTATGGAAAATGCAGATTTCCATTAGGCAAACAAAGCTTCTAGAGGCAGCTACTAGGGCCATGCTTAGATGAGGAAGAATGGATTCTGTGGCGCAATGGATGTTAATCACCACATGGAAAACAAGAAAAAAGTCACACTTTGAAAAGCCAGTATGTTAGCCAATATGCTTAAAATATGACTATTCCTTCTAACATGGACATGTCTAATAAAAACGAAAAAACACATTTGGTCGGGTGATAAATAAGATGCCCGCCTTCCTACTCCACTCCCTAATTTCAAAAACTTGTTGACAATTCTTGCTTGATTACCACTTGTAAACGTTTCTACAATGTCTGTTTCCCAGTTATTTAACCTCCTTACTCACGGTCATTAACCGTGAAAGTGAAGTTGGATGTAGGAGTATACACAAAATAACATTAGCCAACATGGGCAGCTAGCAGAAATAATGCTACAATTGTGCCTCAGCTTCAGTAATGCTCCATGCAGTGCCATATACCAAGGAAAATGTGTCCTCACATGGCAGAAGACAGATTTAATCTTTTTGTTTTTCAGTGCACTAACCCTCTCTTCTACTTTATTTCATCACATCTTGACCATTCTGAAGCCGCCTGATTCTTCAGAAGGAAGGATTAAACATTTACATTTATTCTGTGCCGCTTTTCCTCTGAACTCTAGGATTTATGATTCAGTTTCATAACCACAGATAGCAAATTATCTCCAAATGTTCACCAGTGAGTCACTACTAAGAACTACTGAACAAGGTCAATTGATAGCCTTTGATGTTTCCCGTTATTTTAAAGTCCCTTTTGAATGTTTTGAATTTTGAGTCTAAAAATAAAGAAAAAAAGAAGGTGTGTCATTTTATTAGAGATTTATTTCCTCCTTTTGAACTTAAAATACTTCAGCAGATCTGTGGCTGATCCCGGCCATAGCTCACTCACAGATAAGCTACTAGCGTAAAAATAGAGAAAACTTCTGTATTTGAACTTCTGTTCAAATCTTTTAATATTTTACATCTTATCATATGGAACAGCATCTTATTCTTGCAAAATTAAAAATACTCAGAAATTTTCAACTTCCCTTGCTCGTGAAATGGAGTTAAGAATATCTACCAAAGTAGGGGTTAGTTACTTTGCTCGTTTTAGAGAATACTGTGGCATCTGGATGATGCATCCTGGGACTCATTTTCTCATTTATATAATGACATATGTTGGGACATAACCAAACACTCCCTCTAGAGGGGCTATTCGCAGTTAGAGGCACTTGTCTATCAACTTCTTTAAAGAGTAAATCACTAGTACTACAAAAATTGTTATATCTATACAATGTAATTACCTCATTTTTAGTCACGCTAATTTTTATCTTTTTTTCAACGTGGTTAGCGTAACTTCTGCCGCACCTAATTAACCAAATTCTGATTGTGTTCTAGAAAAACTATTAACAGATATTCGATGGTCAAGACATATCTGCATACGTGTCCATATTTCTGCAGAGATCACTCCTTGACAGTCTGCTAAAAGTAAAAAATATTAAACACGTGCAAAATGACTTGCTTTTCACAGGCAGAATACACAGTCTACACTTATTAACATGGCACCTACTCCCCAGCAGAAGACCCCACACACTGACTGCACCTCCTGTCCGTGAAGGCCTCCTTCTACAGTTCCAAGCTTATAAAGGGTTAAGGGAAAGGCAGATGAACTCTTTGCTGGGCTACTGCTGTGAAAGTTTTGATGGATGACTATACACAGCACGAACGAAAATTTAGCTAGATTATGCAGTGCTGACATTCCTCATGATGTAACATAATTTCTGTGGAGTTACTGGTTTCCATGGCAAGTTAAAAAACTCTAGCTGAAGAATCTTTGTTAAATCATCACATCTAGCAAACAAACAGATCATTACCCAAAGTCATGGAACTCAGATTACATAGTACTATATTTAAACAGGACATCAGTTAAACTTTCTTTTCTTCAGTTAGCTAAAAATAAAGCAACTTTGATAGCTGACCTCTTACTTTAAAACAGACATGAAACCTCAACATTTTTCACTTCTCTTTCATCATTTATTATCTTATTTTCTAACAATGTGATCACTGTGACAACTCTACACACAGAGCCTGAAGGGACCAGCATAGATGAAAACCACCTGTGGCATGTGGCAGGGTTTTTTTTTTGTTTTTTTTTTTGAAAGGAAAGTTTCTATTCTCATCTCTTCTCTGACCCCCCCAGTCCGAAGAAGGGTGTGACTCACCAAGCGGCAAGAAGGCGAGGCGATTTCCGGCCATGGACAGCTCATTGAGGCTTGGCAGCTGGCACAGATGGCGGGGAACGCACCACAGGTGATTGCGGTCTGCAGTCAAGTACTGCAGCGAGAGACACATATGCAGCCTTTCAGGTAAAGTTATCAACCGATTGGTCGAAATGTCCAGTGTTTGCAGCTCCCTCAGGTCTCCAACCTCTACAATCCAAACATTAGGCATGGAGATATATTAATATAATTAGGTTCATAAAGCCACAAAAAAGACCTCAACAAATCAAAAACGAAAGTCAGCAGCTAGCTGCTGCTCTCAAGGTACTACCCTATCAATCTGTGTTCCAAACTGATACGAATATTCCCCAATATCTTCACTTTTCAAATCTTTTGGTTGGGGAGCAGTTATTTTTTAGGCAATATGTCTAAATACGACATCTCTCAAGACAGCGCATTCCTGAACTGTGTCTATCATTACTAACAAAAACATCAAGCAATTTCCCGGGCCAAAATCAGAACGAGCAAAAATGAATGCTTAAAAATAAAAGACATCTTTAGCTTACTGTTAGCAAGGGTGTTTTACATGACCCCAAATTCATGCAAATTCAATAACTTAAAAAAAAACAAAAACAAAAACTAATGCTGATATCCACCTTACTTAAGATTCTCTTGCAATTAGACTTACAGATACGTGCATATCATTTTCTGCTTAGTGACAGTCTTTCACCAAGCATGCTTAGGAACAACTGCTCCCTACAATTCAAAAGGGCTAGCCTGAATTAGAACAGAGATTCATTTTAATAATCTGTAAATTATTATGTGAAGTTATGTTATTTTAGGAGGACATTACAGTAAGTCATAACCTACAGTTGCAATAATTAGAGCTTCTAGAAATTTTCTTTCTTAACACTTTAAGAATCTGGTTAATTTTTGCAATTGTAAGAGCTCTGTAGAAATCTATTTTGTGCTTTAAACAGTATCATATGCCTTTTTCTGCAGATAACAAACCAAGTTCTTCAAAGTCTGCAAGACCTGATCAAGTAAGCCTCCTCACTTGTGTTAATGAAGTGATTTCCTTTGTCTGGCCTTTGGGACCAGGCTCTGCTTCTCCAAAGACCGATTGACAAATATATTGAGAAGCCTTATGGATTATCTCGTTTGTTTATTCATTCTTTTACAGTAAATCTATAAATTGGATAATTCTATAAATTATTCCTCTGAATATGAGGAAAGCTTTAAACGGTTTTGCTTTGTTTTTAAATACATTACAGCAATGTAACCAACTCATCAAGTGTTCAGTCCTATCAATTCTCATGGCAATTCTCAGCATTTTGCAGACCAAATTTACTTTGCCTTAACCAAATGAAACCAGCTCTTGCATCTGATAGCTGCTAAAGAAGATTCTCCAAAACCGTCTACACTGAAAACAGGAGACACTTATCAAGCAAATAATTCTAAAACACATAATCTACAGTTCTCTCACCCAGATTTTTTTTTTTTTTAAATATATAAATAGGGCAACTCTACTTCAGTTAAACCGAAATAAGACCTGTTGTGCCCTTAAGCTCTTTCTGCAGCAGGAGCTAGAAAATTCACTATTGCCTGAGCTCTGATAGCACCTTGCATGATCACTGCATCCTACGACGTATAAAAAGAGCTAGGTTAATTTCAAGCTGTCTTATAGACAGTGGGAAGAAGAAAGATGACAAATTGGAAGTTGACATTGGGAAAAAATGTTTCCGTAAATGTTACTGAGAACACGAAAGGGAAGTTATAATTCAATATTGAAGATTTTTGCAAAAGTAATAATCAAGAAAAGGTTCATGTGTGCATTAACAAGGAATTCCTGCCCACTGCAAGCAATCCCAGCATGAACGACAATAAAGAATCAACATAGTACATGTGTCCTTTTATAAAACAATCCTGACAGTAGCAGCTGCTACACAGAGATGATCACATTCTTCAAACTTTCGACAGTTTTGATGTTAACAGCAGTCATGAGCTTTATTAAAAAATGTTTTACTACAAGATTGAAAATGAACTGCAAAAGAAAAATAATCACCATTAAATAGCAGAAGACCACTGTGCAAAATAACTACCGTAGAGCAGTCTCACTTTAAAGAGTTTTATATTCATCACAAACAAAACCATATGCTTTAAAACAGTGACAGGAAGATAGCCACCTACATTCAGCCAAACCACTGACCACATGCAGTCAACAATAGGGCTAGCTATTTTCATGCACTAACCTTTTTCTCTGCCACTAAAAACAGTTTTCTAATTCAGTATAGGTCCAAAATCCCATAAATGTTATGGTTGGCAAAGCTGGCAGAGTTTCAAAGGCATTGCTAGAATGATATGTTTCAAATCTAAGAGGAAATAAAAGTATTCTCGCTTTATCCTTCATCCAAAAAACACATACTTGTCCAAAACTTCATCCTCTCTACCTTAATCTCCAATGCATACCAGATGTAAACATCGACTTTCAGTGTAGAGTACCATATGTTACAAAAATACCCACTAACCCATGATGAAGTCAAAAAGCAAACCAAACCACTTAAAGTGCCATTAGATTAAAGCTGTAACCCCCCCAGACTCCCCACCAGAGTTGAAAGCTCATTTTGAAGAACATGCTCAGACATACTTCAATGACACTAAATTGGTTTCAATCTCATTAAAGCAAAGGAAAACAATAAAGAATAAAATAAAATTTAAACAGTCTATTAATAAGTTTTTCAAGCTGTTATTGACTAAATACTATTATCCATACTTTTCTAATCTTGCAGCATAAATACTGAAGGACACCATGCCTAACAAACGGTGAAACATTTACAAATCTCTCTCTTGCTATCACCTAATCACCAAGACACTTGCGAGAGGTGGGCTTTGGAAATTTTAGACAGGCACAGAAAAGAAAATAGCTATTCCCAACTAAAAAGATTTGACAGAGAAGAGACTTTTATTCAGCGATTTTAAACTCAAATAACTCTGCAACAAGAGAAAGACAAGCATTATACATCACCACTAAACCACACTCAGGAATTCCAATTACATTTAAATGACATTCATAAATGTGTAATTTAAAATTCATATTAGCTTCAGTATTTTAAGATTAACACTATCAAAATCAACACAGCAGTGCTCAGCAGTGCGCTGAGAGCCCAGTTTTGACATCAGAAGCTAGAGCAAATCCTTGGTAGCTTTGCTAAAACTCATCAAATCTGGGGCCATTCTGTGGAAGCACACAGAGTCCAAACTTTAAGATACTGTGCTGATTTTTGGACCACAGTGTTTCAGCTATGTTCATCTGCTTCCACATGTATTTGGGCAATTACATAGCTTGACCATATGGTACCAATGTGCTCATGGGGCAGTACACCTGAAGTCTCTGACAGACTGTAAATTCACGTACTGCCTTACCTCACAGAAACGTATACCCAGGCTTACACTCAGAGTCCCACCTACAGGCTTTGAAATTCGATTTCAATGACACAGCCATACATACATACGAGTATTTAAGATAGTATTCTAAAACTGCCAGCACTCAGAGCAATTAATTCACCTTTTCCATCCTTGCTAATATGAAGAGTAAACACAAGATTCAGAAGTGATTCCTGTGGCTCCCAAAAGCAGTCCTTGCATTTGTTGCAGTAACTTTCCAAACCACTTGGAGAAAGGGACAAGTAACTATCATGTTATGTGTGTATATTTTCAACAGAAAAAACACCAAATATGTATGTCTCTCAACACAGAAAGAGAAGAAACATCGGCACATTGTTACCAAAAAAAAAAAGAAAAGAAAAGAAAAGAAAAGAGTGAATCCTTAAAACAGTTTTAGGAAATTTCCTAAATTATTGACCTTCTAACAAAACAAAACTGACTGTATTCATATAAACACCATCCAGCAAAAGAAAGAAATATGGTTCAGATGGCTTAAACACTAGGTTTTAAAATTAATTCCTATGGTTTTATTTGCAGGAAAAACACCATCTGGAAGCAACCAGACTATACAACATACAATAATTGCCAAAGGCAATTCAAACTTCCTTAACCTTCTGGGGGTATAGGCCTCACCAGCTGCATAACAGAAAAATAACTAACAGTTTCCCTTAAATTTTAAGAACAATTCCACCTTTCCCTGATGGGCCATAACCCCAGATTTCATCCAAAGATATATGAAACACATACCCAATTGCATGTGAGTGTATGGAAGGCATGGATTTACTTTACTATCTGAGTATTTCAATCCAAATAAAGAAAAAATGGGACAGGAAAGGGCAACAGACCTACCTGCATGAGTATGCACCTCAAAACAGGATATTAAGAGAAAGCAGAGAACCTATAAGGAATGGAAAAAGGGACTGATCAGCAAGGAGAGCTGTCACTCAGAGGTCAGACTGTAGAAATGAAATGAAAATTGCAAGGAGAAACTGCTATGAAAATGGGCACTCTCAAAGAAAATTAAAAACAAGTAAAAGCTTTCTAAATAAGAAAGAGAGAGCAAAAATGAAGAACTGCTGTCAGCAAGGGGTAGAAATTAGGAGAATAGACCAAATATTAAATTAGCTTTTTGCATCAGTTTTTCCTGCAAGAATAATGCTGTGTATGAGGACAGAGACAGAATACCTCACGGGAACAAGGATAAAGAACGTGAAAATTACCACATCTGTTACTAAAATGAAATGAGGCTGCTTAAGAAATTTCTGCCCCAGTATACTGAGAAAAATGGGTTATATATCAAAACTGCAAGCTCAGTAATGAGGACTCTCAATGAGTAAGACATTTCTGGGATAGTAGCCTAGGGCTGGAGAACGAATGTATAACCTGTGTTCAGAAAAGCCCTGTAAACATGAACTTGGTGCTCTTCAGTATCTCGTAAGAGGTGTTCTGTGGGAAAAGAGTAATTAAGAGTAACCAACAACTGGAACATAAATAGGAAGTGGAATAGAAATGCAACAGGGATCTTTCCAAGTGAAAATCATGTTATACTAGCTTATCTTTCTTCGATGAAATTACATTTCTTGGTTAACGGTAACACATTAAGTATAGCATCTAGTACTGCATACACTGAAAAGCAAGTTATTGAGATGGAGAAAACATTACCAGTGGTGTTCCTCAAGGGCCTGCTTTGTTTAGAATTTCCACTATCCACTTTGGTAGAAAAACCAGGTTTTGGTTTGTTGATGACACAAACATTTAAAGTACTG